GGTTTTACATTTAAGTCTTTAATCCATCTTGAGTTGATTTTTTTATATAGTATAAGGAAGGGAGTCAGTTTCAGTTTTCTGCATATGGCTAGCCAGTTCTCACAGTGCCATTTATTAAATAGGGCATTTATCTTCATTGCTTATTTTTATCAGGTTTGTTAAAGATTAGATGGTGGTAGGCATGTGGTCTTATGTCTGGGGTATGTTGTTTTCCATTGGTCTGTGTCTTTTTTTTTTTTTTTTTTTTTGTGCCAGTACCATGTTGTTTTGGTTACAGTACCACTGTAGTATAGTTAGAAGTCAGATAGCATAATGCCTCCAGCTTTGTTCTTTTTGCTTAGGATTGCCCTGGCTATTCAGACTCTTTTTTGCTTCCATATAATTTTTTTTTTCTAATTGTGTGAAGAATGCTAATGGTAGTTTCATGGAAATAGCAGTGAATCTATAGATTGCTTTGGGCAGTATGGCCATTTTCATGATATTGATTCTACCTATCCATGAGTATGGAATTTTTTTCATTTATTTGTGTCATCTCTGATTTCTTTGAGCAGTGGTTTTTAGATCTCCTTGAATAGGTCCTTCACTTCTCTTGCTAGCTGTATTGCTAGGTATTTTATTCTTTTTGTGGTAACTATGAATGAGAGTTCATTTGTGATTTTTTTAGTCTTGACTGTTGTTGGTGTATAGGAATGCTAGTGATTTTCTCATACTGATGTTGTATCCTGAGACTTTGCTGAAGTTGCTTATCAGCTTAAGAAGCTTTTAGGCTGAGATGAGGAAGTTTTCCAGATACAGGGTTATGTCACCTACAAACAAAGAAAATTTGATTTCCTCTCTTCCTATCTAAATATCCTTTATTTTTTTCTTTTGCCTGACTGCCCTGGCCAGAAGCTTCATAAGTGAAGGAGAAATAAGTTCTTTTCAGACAAATAAACGCAGAGGGAATTCATTACCACAAGACCTGCCTTACAAGAACTCCTGAAGGAAGTGCTAAATATGAAAGGAAAAATAATTGTTATCAGCCTAAAAAAACACACTGAAGTACACAGACCAGTGACAGTATGAAACAACCATATAAACAACTGTGCAAAATAACCAGTTAGCATCATGATGACTGGATCAAATCCACTTATAACAATACTAACTTTAAATGTAAACAGGCTAAATTCCTCAAAAAAATACACAGAGTGGCAAGCTGGATAAAGAGTGAAGACCCATTGGTATGCCGTTTTCAAAAGACCCATCTCATGTGCAAAGACACTCATAGGCCCATAAGGGATGAAGAAAAATTACCAAGCAAATTGAAAACAGCAAAAAGTAAAGGTGACACACGTAGTTTCTGACAAAACAGACTTTAAACCAACAAAGATCAAAAAAGACAAAAAAGAGCATTACATAATGATAAAGGGTTCAATTCAACAAGAAGTAGCTTCCCTGAATATATATGGACCCAATACAGGAGCACCCAGATTCATAGAACAAGTTTTTAGAGACCATCAGAGAGACTTTGACTCCCACACAATAATAGTGGGAGACATTAAAATCTCACTGACGATATGAGACAGATCATCAAGACAGAAAATTAATACAGACATTTAGGACCTGAGCTCAGCTCTGGCTATAGAAGACTTGATAGATATCTACAGAAATCTCCAACCCAAACCAACAGAATATACATTCTCCTCATTGCCACATGGCACTTACTCTAAAGTTGATCAAATAATCAGAAGTAAAGCACTCCTCAGAAAATGCAAAGGAACTGAAATTATAACAGTCTCACAGACCACAATGCAATCAAATGTGAACTCAAGATTGGAAAATTCACTCAATATCACATAACAACACAGAATTTCAACAACCTGTTTCTGAATGGTTTTTGATTAATAATGAAATTAAGTCATAAATCAAAGAGTTATTTTAAATTAATGAGAACAAGGATGCAATGTACCAGAATCTCTGGGATGCAGCTAAAGCAGTGTTACAAGGGAAACTTATAGCATCAAATGCCCATATCAAAAACCTAGAAAGATCTCAAGTTAACAACCCAACATCAAAAGTAAAATAATTAGAGAACCAAGAGCAAACAAAACACAACGCTAGCAGAATATAAGAAATAACCAAGCTCAGAGCTGAACTGAAGGAGATAGAGGCACCAAAAAAACCCCTCAAAAATCAACAAATCCAAGAGCTGTTTTTTTTTTTTGAAAAAAATTAATAAAATAGACTGTTAGCTTAACTAATAAGGAAGAAAAGGGAGAAGATTCAAGTAAGCACACTCAAAAATGATGGGGATATTGCCACTGATGCCACAGAAATACAAACAGCTATCAGAGAATATTATAAACACCTCTATGCACATAAACTAGAAAATCTAAAGGAAGTGGATGAATTCATAGACATATACACCCTCCCAAGACTGAATCAGAAAGAAATTGAATCTCTGAATACACCAATGAGTTCTGAAATTGAGGTAGTAATAAATAGCCTAGCAACCATAAAAGCTCTGGACCAGAAAGATTCACAACTGAATTCTCCTAGAGCTAAAAGGACAGCTGGTACCATTCCTATTGAAAGGATTAAAAAAAAAAATTAAAGAAAGGTACTCCTCCCTAACTCATTCTATAAGACAAGCATCATTCTGATACCAAAATCTGGCAGAGACACCACCACCACCACCACAACAACAACAATAACAACAACAACAACAAACATTTCAGGCCAATATCCTTGATAAATATCCATGCAAAAATCCTCAACAAAATACTGGGAAACCAAATCCAGCAGCATATCAAAAGCTTATCCACCATGATCAAGTAGGCTTTATCCCTTGGATGCAAGTTTTGTTCAACATATGCAAATCAATAAATGTGATTCATCACATAAACGGAACCAGAGACAAAAAAACACATGATTATCTCAATAGACGCAGAAAAGGCTTTTGATAAATTTCAAAATTCCTTCATGTTAAAAACTCTCAATAAACTAGGTATGGAAGGAACATTCCTCAAAATAATAAAAGTCAAATATGACAAACTCAGAGTCAATATCATACTGAATGGGCAAAAGCTGAAAGCATTCTTCTTGAAAACTGGCACAAGCCAAACTTGTCCTTCCTTACCACTCCTGTTGCTGCTACTATTATTTTGATGATACTGGTGACAATGGTAAACTGAAACCTGCTAATGAAAACCCCCAGTCAATCCTGTACCTCCTTTAGCCAAATCCAATTAAAGTTCATAATCCAAAATTGTTTTAAATCTCTAGAACGGTTCACTTTTTTGATAACTAGCTACCTCCTGAACAGCATCCCTTGGGAATATTCAGTGCCAACATTCTCTCCTATTATTTAAAGATTTCCTCCAAGACTATATTTTCTTTGTTTTTCTGCTTGTTTTCTAAAAGAAGTGTTCCCTAGTTTTCAGGATTAATCTTGATTGAAAGAATTAATCCAGTTTACCTGAATTCTTTTAAGTAAAGTTACCACCTGTAAAATGAAAACCAGGCAACCCTCTTCTCACCTTTGTAAACATTTCCTCATCCATTAATTATTCTAATATATATTGAATGCCAGCTCTGTGTTAGAAAAAATGCTAGATGTTGGGAATGCAGTGATGAGTTAATACACAGCCTTGGCATCTGTTGCTTAATTCAACAATCAGAAATCTTGACATCAAATTAGATGTAGTCACTTCTTCTTACATCTCTTTAATGGCTTTCCATATGGCAAATTTTATCAAGGCCTTGTGTGCTCTTGTACCCACTGACTACATTCCTTATTCTCTCTACTCTGGATTCAGTCATACTATTTTGATCCCTTAAATGTGCCATGTGTCACTCATCTCAGGCACTTAGTACATTTTCTGTCTTCCTGCGTAGCCATCCTTACATTCTATACTCAACCCACTCCTAGGCTTCTTTCAATTCTCTATTTAGCTATTGCTGAATGCCAGAAAGGATTAAATATTCTAGATTTTTCCCCTGTAGCACTATATAATTCTTCTTCATAGGAAAGATATTATTGATCTAGGAATGTATGTGATATTTGATTAATGTCTGTCCACGTCCATAGATTAGAAGCTGTGTGCATGTAGGGGTTAAGTCTGCCTTTGCTCCAGACTTATCCCTTTTATTCTTTGCATAGCTCATATGGAACATAGCAATTGACATATTGAAGGGATTCAAAATACATATGTTTGTTAAATAAAGATACACAAATTGTCTATTTTCATTATTACCTTAACCTAGGTTTGACAATCTAAGAAAAAAAATTACAATGGGAAAATATTTTAGGTGAAGACATTGATATTTTAATATATAAGTGGTGATTATTGTTCTTTAAGCGTTTAAAACCAAATTATTCTTAGAACTTCCCTCTGGTATTATTCAACAGACAAATTAACACTCAATTTTCAATCAACATAAAATTGTAATTACTAGAAGAAGAATTAATGAGATTTCATACAATCCAAATAGAAAAGTTCATGTATACAAGTAGGTAATTAGATGGATAGACAGATTGATAGATTAGATAGATGGATGGATGGATAGATGCCAGACAGATAGACAGATAAACTCACTTCGAGACCTACAATAGCACATTAGAATGAAATATCTCAGCCTGTGGCTCTAACAGAATTACTATAGATTTATTATGATGATATTTTGATTCTTTGCACTTCACTGAAATTACTTTTATTTAATTCTTGACTGTTAACATTGGGACATTTCAGGAAGAACAGAGCAGAAACAAAACAAAGATAGAGGGACACATTGTTGGTGTAGTTACATCAGACCTTCCCATCTTAGCAAAAATATATTTTCTGATGAAAAGATCTAAGCAGTCAGACAAAACAATACTTAAAATGTAATTATATTGCAACGTGACAATACTTTATCAAAATCCATGGCCTGACAGCATGGATTATTCATATCTCTGACAAATTTCCATTTAGAAAAATGTAAATGAGTTGCCCGAATCACAAAATGTACATTCTTTTTACCTTCTTTAAAGAAAGGATTCCTTCTCTTGTCTCTTTGTCAGTGGAGATGGAGAATACCCCCATACCATCACCATTGATGATGGAGTATGTCATGTCAGCATTTGAGCCAGTGTCTGCATCATTTGCCTTGATTTTCCCAACAGCTGAACCAACTTGAGCTGACTCAGGAACATAGAGCTGATAGTGTTCTGGAAGACATTTCATATTAAATATATTTAAATAACAATGTTCATAAAATAATCTTACAAGAAAAAGACAATAAATATTTACAGCACATATTCAAATGAACATTATGTTAGATAATGCATCGAATGGATTTTTTTTTAAGATTTTAGAAGTTTACTATTTAGTAAGGAAATACTAGATTTATGTAAACTTTAAAAGGTGTGTAAAATACTTTTCATGAAAAGAATGTATATATTTGAGTATGAAATATTAGCTCTAAACCCTTAAAGTACAGACAATTAGAGAAGAGGTCAAGTTTTCATTCTTATATTGAACCAAAACTGAATTAGTCAAGTATTAGTGTAATCCCAATGTATACCTCCCCCATTGTAGCATGTGAAGTTCAAATATAAAAGTGTGAAAATGAAAAGTGTGGAAATGTGGAATTCAACAGAAAAATGAGAGAAAATGCTGTAGCCTATTTGTTAATACAGTTATTTTTATCACAATAAATATATTGAGATATACAGTCATGCCAGAGAAAGCGAATGTATGTTTATATTACTTTACCATAAATTCCCTATCAGCTTCTGAAAAGGATTTGAGGTGGCTTCATAATAACATTATAAATAACATAGTTATTAACATTTTAAAAACTCAATTACAGAGTTGAAGTATGAGAAAGCAGATGGCTATAGAAAATAAAACAGCATTTGTGAATTAGCATTAATTTTGACACTGTACCAACAATGTTAAAGCATTGTTAATATTATATTCTCATTGTCTAATATGTACAAATATCATTTTTCCAAAGTTTTCCCTGATATTAAATGTCAAATGAAACTGTCTCTATGGTGCTTACAAAATATATATTAAGAAGCATAATAAAACATGTTTTAAATTACTGTTTAATTGACAAGTTTTAAAAATCTTATTAAAGCAATTTATTATAGAAAGTTCAAAACATTATAAATGACAGAAGCCCAGGAATTAAAATGTAATTTGATAAAATAATTTCTACCAAGATTAAATTAATAGTGACTCAATACTATATAAGAATATAGTTAGACTATACACCTAATGAATGCACAACCTCTATCAAAATAATTTTAGTGAGCCAATCATTTGTCATTAGTGGTATAATACTGAAAAGAAGTCTAATGTAGTGAATATTGGAAATATCATTTTTTATTCTTATTGTGGTAAGAACACTTAACATGAGATCTCTCACATAAGCAAATTTCTACACAACACAGCATTGCTACTCACAATGTGTTTCAGCAGAACTATAGGGCTTATTCATTTTGCATAACAACAATTTTGTATTTGTTGATTATCAACTCCTCATTCTCCTTCCCTAGTCCCTGATATCAGCCACTCAAATCTTTGTCTCATGGCCCAGAAAACATTTCGGCTGATTCTTTTTTTTTTTTTTTTTTTGTATATAAACATTTACATATCTTTATTTGCATATATAAATACTTATAAATGGCTTTTTATAAATGGCTCTTTATCAATTAGGTATTATGCAGCCCTCAAAAACGATGAGTTCGTATCTTTTGTTGGGACATGGATGAACCTGGAAACCATCATTCTCTGCTGATTCTTAAAATAGAAAACAGATTTCTGGTACAGAAAGATGATGTTTATAGAAAAAAACATGATAATTCTTGACACATTTTAACAATTGGAAGAATAGTAACTTCCCCATTCACTATGTCCCATTAAACAAAATAGAGTACATTCAGATTAATATTTTATGCACTCTCCATTGAGTTGAGAATTATAATTTGTAAATTATGAGTCAACTTTTAGTAGATAGCCTGCAAGATGACCATTTTATCCATGCCTTCTGCTGTTTATGTCCTTGAGTTATTTCCTCTTGAATGTTGGCTAGATATAGTAGTTCACTTATGATAAAGTAGGTTCAGCAAAAGTAATCAGATGTCTCTTACAAGGCTAGATTACAAAAAGACTGTGGCTTTTTTCACGGGAACACTTTTTCATTCCCTCTTGTATTACTCACTCAGCGTCAAGCTGTCTGTCACGTTTTGTTGCAGTCCTAGTAGCCCATAGAGCAAATGACTGATGCTGGCCCAAAGCCAAGTGAGTAAGCTGGAATCAGAAACCAGCTCCACCTCCAACAACGTAAGCCTCTGGGCAAGACCTCAGCCCCTGCTGACTTCTACACTGCAATCTCATCAGCATGATCCAAAGGCACTCATCTAAACCACAGCTAGATTCCTGACCTACAGAAATTGTGAAATGATAATGCCAGTTGTTTTAATCTGCCAAATTGGAATGCTTTGCAACACAGCCATAGATAAACTACACACACCTTTCAGTAGTTGCCAGTGATTTGCTAATTCAAATGGATCCTTCTTTTGTTCTTGTTATCCTGGGGTACTGTGATTTATGTTGAGAGAAATTAAAAACCAAAATAATCAAACAAAACCTGATTCATTATACTGTTATTGCTGATTATTTCTCTTCCTATGACTTTACACTTTGATATATTTCTAACAGAAAAAAAAGCCAAATAAAAAATGTAGTGAAACACACATGTATGCCATCAAATCTTAATGTTTTGTTGTATTTGATTCAGCCTCATTTTATAATGTAATATATTATTGAAGGCACAAGTGATACTTCTAAGTGGGCCCTTTGCTACAATCAAATTCTCTGCTCATCCTCCCAGAACCATTATCATCCCCCTACATATCTTAAAAATATTAACGTAATATATTTCCACAAATATATATTTAGGTAGTATAGTTATTTAGATTTCAGTTTATATTTATCATTCTTATGTATTTTTTACACAAAATCATAATTTTAAGATATATCTAAGATGATGCATATAGTTCTAGTTCATTAACTACAATATAGTATTTAATAATATGCTACAAGTTATCCAACTGTATGTTTTTCTAATTTAGAAACATTCAAATGAATTTTAGTTTACATATCTCCCCATGCACATGCAGAATTTCCGTAAGCTACAGTTATAAAAAGGCTCTTCCTGGAGCTGTAGAACACAGCCCTTCCCTGGTTGTATCACCACTTTTCTAACATGTCAGTTCCATTACAGACTTATTTTATACTTTTTTCTTAAAAGATAGTATTGTCCATAACACAGTACCTCATTTCTACTCCTTATACACACACTCTAGAAAGGAACATTTGTCCCTGTGGTTTCACCGTTGACATATCAATTTATGTCTCCCAAATGAATATTCACATCTGCCATATCCTGAGTTTCTGCTCAAATGTTCAATTGATGGTCATCTCCGACTTTATATTGGGCATCTACTAACTTATGTCTTTTTTTAAGAAAAGTAATATAGAAGTATTTCGAAAATTTAAAATGTAGGCCAATAAAAGAAGAATCAATTGTTTAAAGTTTACAATAAAATAAGGACACAGGAAACTGAATGAACCAAATATGAAGATTAAACTTCTTATAACACCCCCATTTGCTGACATAAACTCTATTGAAAACAAATAAAAAACAAGAAAAAAACTTGATAATTATATTTTTCCAATATCAATTTGACATCAATATTAAATTCTCACCTCACTTCTCTAAAATTGTTTATGTCTATGAAACTTACAACTGATAAATAATTATGTTTAGTAAAAATTACTCAAGTTGGCTGTAGCAAATAACATCTCATAATGAAGAGATGTGTTATTTCTAGTAAACTCTAGCTATATAAGAAAATAGAAATAGTTATGGTAATATAACCTTTAGAATTTGGTTATCCAACATCACAGAGTTACTAAAATTTGCAAATAAAATGTCAAATTTGTATTTAAAACAAAGAGTTATTTATAACTATACACTAATATGTGACTATTAATGAAAACTTGGAAAAAAACAAAATAGAAAAAAGGTAATTTGTTTTTTCATCAAAAGGATTTTTTTTTAAAATTATATGACTTAATTGATAATATTTATTGCACTGTGATTGTAGTAATAGCATAGTTAGTATTCTGCAACAAAAGATAATAACTTTAAACTTTCCAATATAATTTCAGATATAATTTCTATATATGTGTGTATGTATATAAATATATGCATGTATATACATATAAATACATACATGTATGTGAAATAATATATATTTGTATATAATATATGGTATATATAATACTTACATAATATAGTATATATAATATATACTATATATAATAATCATATATAAAATTATTATATTATATATAATATATAATATATAATTATATGATATAAAATATTATATAATATATAACATATATAATTATATAATATATAATGTTATATAATATATATAATAATAATTATATATACAATTATTATACTATATATAATAATTATATATAGTCTATATTATACTAATATATATTATATAGTATACAATATATACTAATATATATTATATATAATATATGAATAATATATACATATGTATTTATATGTGTTTATATAAATACATATGATATACATAAATATATAATATATATTAGATATATGTATATATATAAATACACACAGATATATAATAGACATATAATAGATATATGTATGTATATACATATAAAAGCATAAATATATTAATGCATACATATATTAATATATGCATATACTGTATATATTGTGTATCTATGTAATATATATATTTACATATATATGTATGCATTTATATGTATGTATACAAATATATATTTATATACATAAATATATAAATATATATAAATATATATTTATATACATAAATATATATATTTATGTATCTATTACATATCTATGTGTATGTACATTTATGTATATAAATATATGTAAGTAATGTAAATTTACATATGTATATAATTATATATAAATATATTCATATAATATAAACTTAGGTATATAAATACATATACATAAATATATATACACACACCAAGATATATAATAGATACAACATATTCATACATGTCTTAAGATTATATAATGTTAAAGACATGGATCATGAACCTGTTGACATCATGAAATAATTGA